TAGTTTGTTGTGCTGACTGGGGATTTGGATTTGCAAGGCTTTGGTTTTGCTGAGGGTCAACACTGCCACCGTGTGGCTGCATTTATGAGGTGAATGTCAACAATTAATCTGACCAAATGGTGTAAAATAAGAGTGTACACACAACCATGATGCTGAAAAGATCAATCGAGTCACAGCTGTCAGTTTTCTCTTATTTAAACGGTGTTTTTTAAAGTGACGGTCAGAATAAATAAATGCTGAAAATCTAAAAAATGTTATTTGTGGTTTAAGTAGAATTTAACTCAGGAGGATTCTCATCCATCAGATTCTCCAACAGAAGCAGATACATGTGTTTCCATTCAACTAGACCCAAATCCTAATTGGCAGTAAATTTAAACTGGATGCAAAGAAACATCACATTAAAAATAAGTAAATGTAAATCAGAACAAATCTAGAGCAGAACTGGTTTAACTTTGCATCTGGACCACCATACCACTCTCCCACACACACCTGCATGCACACACACGCATACCCAGTAACCAATCATCACCCTCATAAACACTGAAAACCCAGACCCACACAGGCTGATCAGAACCACAACAGAACCAGAATTCAACATCAAACGTTCACATTGTTACACAATAAACTCAAAACTTCCATCATTTGGTTCTTTTTGAAAAACACAGAACAAATGTACCAAAGAAACTCAAAAACTATCCTACCAGAGATTCCTCCCTTGATTTGCAGCTTCTGAGTAAATCTTCTCTGCTGAAAGTGGACCGTACTTTTCCCTTTTAGCTCTACAAAGTTCTGATTCCTCCCCTTCGTTTCTGGTTTCTCAGTTGCAGCTGCAAGAGTTTTACTTTTTTTCCCCCTAAGTGGGCAGATCTTGAAGGAGCCAGATCACCTGTGCCTCATTGAATGATTGACAGCTACCAAAGCCTCTGTGAGCTTGTGCTGGATATAAAACTAAGTGAGTGGGACACCAAAACATGGAATGCCTGGTCACACAAACCTGCTCACATTAAAACATTTATACCAGTCAGAATATTCATGCAGCTTTCCATTTCTCCTATGAAAATTCTGACACTTTTGATTTTTGGTCCCTAAATGAATAATTTGGTTTTAATAAAGCAGTATATATAAATCACAGCCATAACACTGGGTGAAATATAAAAGCCTAAAAACACCTGGAAACATTTTATTTGGGGGAAAGTGTCATGACTGTGGGAGTTTCCTGACCCAAGACATGCAGAATCAAGCGAGGAGAAGTAAAGAGGAAAACACAAAAGTTTATTTAAAAGGGTAACTGAGGGTGCACCGTCAGACGTGGCGGGGATGCCGAGCACAGCTCTGGACAGGGTTGGGGGTCGACAAAGCCCAGGGCTTGGGAGGAGGACAGGCAGGACTGGGGTGAGCAGCGCTGGAGGTATCCGAAAGACAAGAGGAAAGGGAAGCGTCTGAGGTATCCGTAATCCAAATGAGGTGAGCGGTGGGAGAGCGGGTCGGTCCAGGCGTGGAGGGAGATCAGGCTCGAATGTGTTGTCCAGGTTGCTGCAGAGGTGGTCTGAGGTGAGGATAAGGCAAAGTAAATCTAAACAATAACACGTGAGCGCAAAAACAGGGACTAAGACTTTGGTTTTAACTAATCATCTGACAGGGTGAAGTGATCTCTCAGCTCCTTATAAACGCTGGACCAGTAGGTTAGGAATAGCCTGCAGCTGGCCGCTCTCCGGAACCGCCCACCTGCAGAGACTTGGGGCATGATGAGCAGAATGGTGCTGACTCACCCCAGATCCTGACAGAAAGACATCAGTTTAGTCAAATTCTAAGTCAGTTGTGTTAAAATATAAAGTCAGATATAAAAGAATAGACGTTTGCATTTGCTCAGTAAGCTGCTGCATGGCAGTGAGAGGAGAGTATGTGGTGTTTACAAAGCCTCAAGTGAGAGATTCACGATTTTATGCTGTTGCATCGAGACCAGTTATTATGTAAACAATCTTCTTACTGAAGTATAGACAGAGTTTATATTAGAAGGGAATTATTCAGACACCGAACCACTCAGTCCAGAAAGTAACGACTGAACCTCCTGTGTATGTGTGATTATGAGATTCTGCAGCCAAAGTGCTGCTTCTAATTTTAAGATGTCTTCTTAAAATCAAGTATGTGACCAAACTGCTGCTGCACAACTGAAACCAACATGACTCATCAATAAATAAATATCAATATATCAATTTCAGTGCAATGATGTAAAGATTCATGAGAGACTTGGGATATTTTAGCTGTAATAATCAGTCTGTGCAGCAGAGGGCAGAGCAACTTCGTATTTCAACTCTCAGTGTTTACATCTCATTTTAAGTTACCATGAAACTAGAGCTAGAGCTCCAAATCCATCCGTGCATCTTAATCTTTCCCATAAAACCACGTTTCTCAGTACCCCATCAAAAAGAAATTGAATATTAATAATGCATTAGACTAAATCTTTCCATAAAGCTGGATTGAGATGATCTTAATGGCTTTGAATTTGCAGACTGCCCATCATGAAGGATACTGCAAATTACCTTCTCATACGGCTTCATCTTCAGCAAATCTGATCCATCAAAACATTTTATTCCACTCTCACGGGATTAAATAGCTTTGCACTTTTAGAGTCGTAATCCTCACTCTATACGTCTTGGCCCAAATAAAGGAATTGGGCTGGGAGTGAGTGCCCATTTTTGTGTTAGAACATCGTCTCAGAAACTTATCAGAACTAGACATGGCATTCGTGGTCAAAGTGACACGTTTTGTTTGTAGAAGGCTCTAACCGTGCCAAAACATTAAAAACGGGAAATTCATTTTGCCTTCAACACAACTTGTAAACAAGTGTGAGCTCTTTGAATCAATCATTACACAATGGACAACAAAATACAGCACTGTGTGCGAGTCAGTGCTCAATTGCTCATCATTTTTACAGAGCTTTCATGCCATTTGTTATCTTTAGGCGGTGTCAAATTTGGCTTCTTGCAAAGAACTGGATCTACAATCAGAAACGCTTTGATGCTAATTTGATTGACTCCACGATGTTGTTGTTTGTTTTTTTTAACTGTTGGAAAACTGAAATATTGTAACTATTACAGACATCACATGGAAACCAAAATAGCATCAGCATATTTCCAAAATAAATAAAAAAAACTTTTACAGTAGAAGAAATAAGTCCTGCAGACTGATTGCTACTTGAAGATTTGTGTGAAGGAGTGTCAAACAGGTGCTTCAGGAATTTCATCCGGATGTATGAAGTTCCCAATAGGAATAATAGGTTATTTCTGTTTGGTCACCCTGGCTAAAACAATGGAGTTGGGACTTCCGTGTTACAGTTTGCAAAAGAGTTTGGAAAATTAGTCAGTCCAATGACAAATGGTTAACAAATTTGCAAGAGACTTCTTCTTCTGCTCTGCTGAGATAATGATGATGAAAACTGAGTGGATCCCATTTTCTTTAGGCAGGTCAAAGACAATAAAAACTTTTAATACACTTACAACAAATATTTCCTGGTAACTACAAACATGTCGGACAAATGTTATTGTTTGGTTTTGAACACAGACTGACTGGTTTTGAATTGATAGCTTGGGTTTACAGAAATGTTTGGGGTTTTATGACAGTAGTAAAGATTATTTCGTTTGCATTTAAGGTTTTGAGGAAATGGGTGGAGGTTACAGGGAAGGTGTTTTAGCAACTCAGGAAAATTGCAATATGTTTATTTTATATTTAGATAGAAGTTGTACCAAGTGCTTTTGCTAAAATATCGTCAGAATGTATGAACCTATGTGGTTGTTCATCAGTTGGTCTACCTTTGCAGACTAATTGCATTTTGATCTTAGAAATGAATTGTCTTGAAATATTCATGTCCAGATAAAAATGGTAGATAAAAATTTAAATGGTGCCAAGATAGGTTAGGAATGATTTTAAAGCTATTCACTAGTAGTTGAACTGAGTTTTTCACATGTGATGAGCTGAGACAAGACACGATGGTACAAGACAAGAGACAAGACAAGACAAGATTAGATTAGATTAGATAACATGAGTTTAGAAGATTAAATGGTGTGTGTGATGAAATGAGAGGAGATGAGGCGAGGAAAGGAGACAAGATTAGATTGGATAAATTAGTTTAGAAAATGAGATTATGTGAGATGAGATGAGGTGAGACAATATGACATTATAAAATAAAATTAGAGTTCAGGAGATGAGATGAGATGAAAGGAGAGGAGAGGAGTTCAGGTGAGGTGAAAGGAGATGAGACTAGATAAAATAAGTTTTGAAGATGAGGTGATGATGAGATGAGACGAGACGAGACGAGACGAGGCAAGGCGAGGTGAGCTGAGGTGAGATTAGATTGGATTAGATAAAATAAGTTTTGAAGATGAGGTGATGATGAGACGAGACGAGGCGAGGCGAGGCGAGGTGAGCTGAGGTGAGATTAGATTGGTTTAAGCTTTGAAGATGAGGTGATGATGAGATGAGAAGAAACGAGACGAGGTGAGGCAGGTGAGCTGATCTGAGGTGAGATTAGATTGGTTTAAGCTTTGAAGATGAGGTGAGATGAGATGAGACGAGACGAGACGAGACGAGGCGAGGTGAGCTGAGGTGAGATTAGATTGGTTTAAGCTTTGAAGGTGAGGTGATGATGAGATGAGAAGAAACGAGACGAGGTGAGGCAGGTGAGCTGATATGAGGTGAGATTAGATTGGATTAGATAAAATAAGCTTTGAAGATGAGGTGATGCTAAATAAGATAAAATGAGTTGAGCTGAGATTAGATGAGGTGAGGTGAGAGGATACAAGATTAGATTAAATAAGATAGTTTAGGAGATGAGATTAAATGAGAGGAGATGTGGTGAGGTAAGGTGAGAGAAGATGAAATTAGACTAGATAAATTTAGTTTAGTTTAGGAGATGAGATGAGATGAGGTGAGATTAGATAAAATGAGTATAGGAGATGAGATGAGATGAGATGAGATGAGATGAGACAAGGTGAGGTGAGGTGAGAGGAGACAAGATTAGATTAAATAAAATTAGTTTAAGAGATTAGATTAAATTAGATGAGATGTGGTGAGGTGAGGTGAGGAAAGAGAAGATGAGATTAGTTTAGTTTAGTTTAGGAGATGAGATGAGACTAAATTAGATAAAATTAGATAAAATAAGTTTAGAAGCTGAGGTGATGTGAGATAAGATAAAATGAGCTGAGCTGGGATGAGATGAGGTGAAATGAGGTGAGGTGAGAGGTGACAAGATAAGATAAGATTAGATTAGATTAAATAAATTTGGTTTAGTTTAGAAGATGAGATGAGACAATACTACATTAAATTTGATTAAATGAGTTTAGCAGATGAAGTGATGTGAGATGAGATGAAATGAGGTGAGACAAGTTTAGATGAGATCAAATGAGTTTAGAAGAAGAGGTGAGGTGACATGAGATGAAGTGTCACTTATTATCCACATTATCGTGCTGAAGTCATTTCTTATCTTGAATCCAAATTCAACACAAATACTACGTTACATCAAAACAATTTCAATTTGCTTCCCAGCCATTCTTATTTCATTGCCATATTTCTTTATTCTTTATGTTTTTAGCTGCCTGTTCCTCAAGGAGACTGGTCCACTGCTGACACGTTCAGCAGCACTCGGAGAACAGTTGCCCATTGCTCTTTTCAATGGTCTAAACCAATAATTAATTAATTGTCCGATCATTAAGAGTGAGTATAAAGTGTAAATGTTGAAACAAAAGTGCGTCATCAAACCATTTCCAAATCTCTTGATTCAATGTTTCATAAACAGTCTGGGAAAGTGAAGACTGCCACAAGCAGTTAGACTTTGGCTAAGTATTGAGATGAGAGGATGAAACGGGCCTCAGCCGGTGACGGCGTTTACTAAAATCATTTTACATCAGGGAGAGGTCATTCCTGCTTAGGGGTGTTTTCTCTTCTCCTCGGGTCCCAGAAGTGGCAGTCCCCTTGTTTAATGTGAAATTAAAAGCTGTCAACTGCAACAAATTATGGGGACTAACCAAAGCCGTGGACTGCCTCCTGATGAGTCTAAGCAGCAGAGCATTGTCTTTTCCAATAACCACTACAGTGAAGATGTACACAGTTCTGTCTGAAATAAATACTTTCTAATCGAATAAATAAATATATTTTAAAGAAAGCTAGAAGAATAGACGTCAAAAACACATTTAATAAACAATTATTTCTATTTTATGCTTTGAATGTTGACTTATACACATTTCAAAATCGAAACACAGACATTGTAGGACTACAAGAAAACAGATTCCAAACGGTGCCTTAGTGAATCAGGTTATTAAATTACGTATATACAGTGGGATATAGAACATTTACTTTCTTTCTCTTCCTGTCGGTGGAATGGTTCTGATCTAAAATGAACTCATTTAGTGACTCTATAAGCAGGAGCTGAATAAACACCATCTAAATGCAGCCTTTCACACAATCGATGTTCTAAAACTAGACAATTGGTCAAACTTTTACCCACGTGGGGTCTATTTACATCAACGTCAAATTGTCTCTGGAAATGAATCTGAAAAAGTGCGTTTGCATCTTCTAGGCAGCAGCCAACCGACCATGAGAGCTCTGTCGTTAGACGCTGGAGATGGAGTCCAGTTTAGAGAAGCCAGTGGAGGCTGAAGTCTGAGCCTTTAAGTTCACACTGATGCTGAAAGCAGCAAATCCACTGCACTGATAGCAGCATCCAGGGTCTGGGTTGTCTCTAGGGACTTTTCTGCTCCTCTGCTGGACTCGAGGGACCGCTGCTTGTGTCCTCAGCAGCCTGTCTCTCGTGTTTGCCCTCCAGCAATCTGTCATGAGAAACTGTCCCCAGCACTTTGGCACTGTGCTCCTGTGCTTTGGCCCTGAGTGCAGCAATGCTGTTCTCTCTCAGTTCCTCTTTAGAAATGACGGACTTGCCCTCTGACCTCTTCTCCTCCACCTCAGCGTCCTCCGGCCTCTGAGCGCTCGGCTGCTGGGGGACGTCGCATTTTCCTGTTGGAGGGGCCGCTCCTGTCTCCATGGACTTTTTGTGCATCCCTGCAAAGAGTTGCGGGTATTCAGATTTAGAATATCGTCTGTTGACTGGTAAGCCATCTTGGACTGAAAACAGCAAGCAAAAATAGTTCTGGTTTAGAATATAATGTTATACGGACAATAGAAAAACATTAGGGTGGTTTCTTGTAGAAAGCAGAAACATGTACTTTATTAATAATACTATTCCTGATTTAAAAAATGTGAATGCAGACAAGTATTTGTGATTATCTTCATTTTCTTTACATTAACAGTCTATTTACATGTCTTAGCCCCTCTTTTAATGCTAAAATGCTGAGAAACTGTAAACCTGTAAAGCACAGCCTCACCCAGCAGCCAGGGGGCGCATGACTCCATGATGCCATCTTTAGCAGACTTGAGGATGGACTCTGGCAGGGGGATGGAGTGCCTGACCATGGCTCCATACAGTCCATACTCAGCCATCACCGTGCTGCGGCCCCAGCACTTCTCCCTCTTCCTCCACTTGGCTCTGCGGTTCTGAAACCAAACCTGCAACAAAAGCAATCAAATCATTGCTTTTTTAAAGATTTCTGCAAGTCAAATATAGTCATGGCCAAAAGTTTAGAGAATTATGCAAAAATACTGAGAAACATTTTAACGTTGCTAAAGAAACGTCTCTTCCTTTCAGTTTGTTTTGTGATGAACATAAATATTCTAGGAATGACCGATGACTTTTGCTCCACAGAAAAGTGACTTTCTGGATCTTGGCAAAAGTTTGACGGATGTCAAGAGTTTGAGAGACTTCTGTTTTTGAAACCAGTTCAAAAACAGAAGTTAGACTTCATTTGGCCTTCTTTGTTGATTTTTAAAAATCGTTTTACTAACTAATCATAACATTCTGACTGATGTTCTTAAAGCTATTAAGACTGGAAGCCAATCTTTAGAATAATTTTAAAGAAGACGTTGTGTTTGTGGAGATTTTAACTCAAGTGTCTCTTGACCAATTAGGACACTTCCCATGATCTGCTCAAGGCCCAGTCAGCTATAGTAGCTAAATTGATTGCAAACACAGAATGGTTAGACAGACACCTCTGATGATTCTTGAAAAGACAGATTATAGAAGATTCACCAGGCTGCATGAATTAAATATTAAACTGCAAACGATCAAATCGTCTCAAAGCTTTTCTCCCCTGGTAAATCCTGATGATAACCCTTATTTCATACAAGATACTTCTCTGTGCAGAAATTGCTTCTCTGCCCTCAAAAGGAGTCAGTGAGTGGAAGCAGCGAGCAGGAGCGACCCAGGGGCAAACCGAGGGTGATTGAAAAATAAGTTAATTTCAGGCCCAATCGATGGTGGGCAGGCGGGCAAATATCACGGGAAATTAAACTACCGGGGCTCCCGGGAGCAGCGCTATTGACCCGTGCTAATAAATTCAATGTAGTTATTTCATTTGAACTCCCTGCGTCTCTCCAGCAGCAGCTCGTCTGATTTAACTAATTACACTCAATGAGAAAATTGGGTGTTAATTTTGTGCAGGAGCAGGAGCAGGCTCGCTTATTTATTTCCTTTTATTATTTATTCTCGGCCATACTGTTGCAAGTCCGTTAATGAGAACGAGATTAAAAGGCGCCGCGGCAGATGGATGGGTCCAGGTCACACTGCAATCTTCTTCCGCCTTGATAGCTTGATTAGGTCGTTAGCGGCTTCTTCTCCGAGAACAAATTGTTTCACATCCAACTGCGCCTGATGAGAGATTATCTGTCCTGGCGAGGATGCTGCAGCAGCAGCAGGAGGAGGAGCAGGAGGAGGAGAAGCAGGAGGGGGGCATCAGGGATCGATTTATGGGAGGGGTGACCAACTCCTCTTAAACACCAGCGCATCAGGAAAGTCAACAGTAGGTTTAGACTGAGATTAAAATCTGACACAAGCAGATTAACAAAATAAACTAGAAATTATTTATGTCAAAAATGTGTCAATTTCATATTATTTATCAAGATTTAACACTTGAATGACTTTGTGGAGGAGTGTTTTATGTTTCTTTCAAATGGCACTGATGCTCTATTCTATTCTATTCTATTCTATTATGTTCTGCTCTATTCTATTATGTTCTATTATATTATGTTCTGCTCTATTCTATTCTATTATGTTCTATTATATTATGATCTGCTCTATTCTATTCTATTATGTTCTATTATATTATGTTCTGCTCTATTCTATTCTATTATGTTATATTCTATTATGTTCTGCTCTATTCTATTCTATTATGTTCTGCTCTATTCTATTCTATTATGTTCTGCTCTAATCTATTCTTATATATTATGTTCTATTATATTATGTTCTATTCTATTATGTTCTGCTCTATTCTAGTCTATTATGTTCTATTATATTATGTTCTGCTCTATTCTATTCTATTCTATTATGTTCTGCTCTATTCTATTCTACCGTGTTCTGCTATATTCTATTCTATTATATTCTATTAAATTCAATTATATTCTATTGTGTTCCATTATGTTCTATTATATTATGTTCTGCTCTATTCTATTATGTTCTATTATATTATGTTCTGCTCTATTCTATTCTATTCTATTCTATCATGCTCTGCTCTATTATATTCTATTATATTAAATTCAATTATATTCTATTCTGTTCCATTATGTTCTATTATATTATGTTCTACTCTATTCTATTCTATCATGTTCTGCTCTATTCTATTCTATTCTATTCTATTAAATTCAATTATATTAAATTCAATTATATTATATTCTGTTCCATTATGTTCTATTATATTATGTTCTGCTCTATTCTATTCTATTCTATTCTATTCTATTTACACAAGTTTTAGGGGTTATAATATAAAGTATGTGGTAATAGTACACTGCTTAACTTCATATTCAATTACTTCATGGATTTATAATTAATAGTTCCTCTTTCAGTATAAGTGCAGGGCACGCTTTGAGATAAAATGACCAAATGTGCACTAGGAAAACTATTTCAGTCTGAAAAGTTTGTAAGGTTTTCTAAAAATATTATTTTAAATCCTAATTATTTAGTGTCTCATATCCAATGACAGTAAAGTCACTAATTCATTCATTCATTCATATGCTACCTTTATGAGCTCACACCTAAGAAATTGAATCAAATTTTTACTTTTTTCTAAAACTTTAAAATATACACCATGATGCAATACAAATGAAAACAAACATCCTTTTGTTGTTTTTATTTGATTGCTTAGCCTAATATAATAACTTAAACAGCCCAAATAGAAAAAAATCCATTCCCATGGCAGACAGAGTGAATACCTGTATTCTGTCTTCAGGTAGTTCTGTTTTCATGGCCAGCATCTCTCGGGCATAAACATCCGGGTAATGCGCCTCGTTAAAGGCCTTCTCCAGCTCCTCCAGCTGATATGAGGTGAAGATGGTTCTGTGGAAACGGTTGTAAACATTTACAGGGGTTAAATATTGTTCCTGCTGAGAAAATATTCCTCAAACTCATCAATAATAGATGCAGGATTTGAAAACTACCTGAATTAGAACGAAAAGGGTGAAACTCAAGAATCCTAATTTTATGTTTCAATGCATTTGGAGTTGGAAGATGAAAAGATGAAAGAAAACAAAGCCTTCTGATACTGAGGAAGTCTTTTGTGACACTCTAATATAATTATTGTAATAATAATAATAATAATAATAATAATAATAATAATAATAATAATAATAATAAAATATACTTATTGCATTTGGAAAAATATTTAGGCTAATTAAGCTATTAATATAATTATGACTAGAAATAGAGCAATACACTCTAACAGATTATATTCTTTAACAACAATAATCCGGAGTTTTAATCTTCATATTTAAACTAACATATCGTCTCTCCTTGTCGTGAAAAATCTGACTAACCGGTGGCGTCTTTTCTTGCGTTTCTTGTTCTGACTTAGAGATGACTTGGAGTGTTTTCGTTCGTTTGAAGATAAATCCTCAGAATCTGGATTTAAAACAACGGATTAGATTAGAACATAATACAGCACACACGGCACACACTCTTTACGGCAGCATCAATACTCTTAATTCGTTTTAAATAATAATAATAATAATAATAATAATAATAATACTTATTTTTTCTCTGTATTATGTGACTCACCTGAGCTGGCTGACTGGCCCGCGTCCAGCCGCCCTACCGACCTGATGTGCGGCTGCAGGTGAGCATCCTGCCCCTCCGACAGCACCGTCTCCAGAAAGGCTGGCTGGCTGTAAAATGACGGAATCCCACCAGGCCCAATTAATCCCATCCCGACACCGACACCCATCCCAGCGGGGCCCAGCACGGACCTGGCGGCTAGCAGGTGCGCCCCGGCCGGCAGCGAGCTCAGCGGACTCCTCGGGGTGGCGGGCGGCTCTTTATTCAGCCCCAGTATCTCCTGGATGCCAAAGCCGGTGCACCTGGGTGGCGGGTTGATGGAGCCGCTCTTCGGCTGGTGGCTCCCTCCGTTTGCGCCCTGAGAAGATTTCTCCGAACGGTTTAAAGTTTCCGTCAGCACAGCACCTTCTTTCCCCGTCATTGTGTTTTTAGGCTTCTTAAAAGGCCCGTTTTCTTATTGCAGCGTCTTCCAGGACGGTCCCCAGTGCATGATCCTCTGTGTAACACACCGTGCTTTAGAAAATGGTCCTTTTATCCAACAGGTCCATCCCAACAAGAGGCAGCAGCCAGCAGCCAATCAGCTGCAAGGATGCAGGATTCCGGCGGATCACGGATGCATTAAACGCCCTCTCTGATACATTTCTGCATTTTCCTGAGGACTGCGTGGACAGACGAGGAAGAGACTGCTGAGAACATTTAAAATTCCAAATTCCTTTATTTCTCTGCGGGAATAAAAGCTAAAACACATTACACACGATCAAAATCGAAATTAAGATTTTTAAGATTTATTCCAAAGAATATCAGAAACTTTAATTGCTCGGTGACTCAGATCAAACCCATTTCACACCTATCTTCCTGATGCCACCTTTGAAATGCTGCAGGTTTGTGGAAAATTACCCCAATCTCCCGGAATAAATCTGCATGTATTGCCTTTCGCGGGATGGTTTATACACACACGGAGCCAGCTATGATCTATCTGCCCAGGCACCGGCTCACACGGATGGATAATTGATCTCCAGATGCTCGGGGAAACTCATCACACGCAAATCAAAGGCCCTCCCAAAAACGACAGCTGGAGGACGTGGACGAAGTCCTGCAAGGCGCTAATCCCACAGCGGCTGCAGTCATGCATAATAATAATAATAATAATAATAATAATAATAATAATAATAATAATAATTTGGCAAGTTATCGTTGTCATTTTAGAGGGCTAATTAGAAATAAAACAACAAATCAAACCGATTATTTTATTAACAACAATCCAGAGCTTTAGTCTGCAATAGCAAATATCAATTGTTAATTTTTTTTAGACATTTAAATATGCAGTAATTTGCTAATTTCTTGCTCTAAGGTACTTGTTGCAGGGTAAGGTCGCACTGCAGAAAAATACCTGAAGGAATTCGAGTTAAATACAGCAGAGTGTAAATTCTGATGAAAATAAAAACGTCTTTTGAGAAAACATCTTAAAGTGGCCTAAAAGAGCAGAAGATCAAGTGGCATGCCCTGTAAAGTCATATTTTATTTTATCAGAGTGAAACGAGCAGCTGATTAACAAGAAGAAAAATATTGCTGCTGCAATTAGAGGCTGTAGAGAGCTGAAAGTAATAGGGCCTATTTAGTGGATATTCTATTAATGAAGGAATCGATGTTATTAGGATATGCTAATGACACATCAGCCTGTTGGGATCAAGTCATTAATGTGTGTGTGTGTGTGTGGTGGGGGTGTCAGAATGACCCCCGTCAATTACAAGGAAGCAACCGAGGCCTCTCACTCCATCATCACTCCCTCTGCAAAGTACAGACTGTTTGTTGAACACTGTGTATGTTTTATTTTCATTAATCCATCTCCTGGGAAAATGAATGCACACTGATTTACATGCAGCAAAGCGGCTGCTTAGGGCTCCAGATTAAGGGAAGATTTAGTTCAGTCATTCATGTAGATTGGGTTGCCCATCAAAAGACCTGCAGGATCTGATAGACATCTCCAGATTAAAGTGCAGCTGTTGATTTTGTTTTGTTTGTATTTGTAGCGCCACCACTCTTTCTTAGTTGCATCTTTCTCCAAGATTCCTGAAACGAAAAAGGCTTGATGCTAAACAAAAAAGGTCCTCACACCTTTCTGTCAGTCGGTCAAAATCTAATATTTAAGCCGCCCACTTTAATGCATGTCAAGTATCTTATTGTGCTGATGTATGTGGCAGTGTGTGGAATGCACTTGTCACAATGAACTTCACATCTAAGAGAAGGTCATGCAGAAACAGAAATGAAATTTTTACTATTTCATAAAGAAAATCTGCAGTTTTACAACGTTTGCACGGTCAAGGTCAAAGGAAGCGCTGGATCATCTTTGCTGAGTTGCAGACATGATGGCAGCAAAATGAGCCAAGCCTTGGTCTGCATGAGAGCACATTCAGGGTGTGATACAATCCCCCCCGCCCTCCAGAGTTTGCAGGTCCCGCAGCTTTCTCATGGCTCCCCCACAACGGTCTGTTTGGTAGCTGCCCGTTGGCATTGCTTAATTAGGCGAGGAGTTGATTAATTTGCACTAATTGACAGCTAATTTAAAGACCCGGGGCACATCGGCTTGACGTTTGTCGGGGAACTGAGGGATGTGAGGTCAGCTCTGCATATGGATGGATGGATGTTTTTTTCCCTTTCTCTCCCATATGGATGACCAGTTCTGCGGGGGCTGGCCCGTTTCCTGGAGGGCTGCTTGGCTGCGGGTGACAGGCGGCCAGCAGTGCATGCACCATATTGAGAATGTCAAGGAGGAGAATATCAATGTGCCTCACTCAGCATCAACAAGTGAGCGTGCAACTGGTATTTGGAGGGAACTGGACACTTTTGCACATCTAATGATTAAAATAAAGGGGCTCTTTATTGAGTTGCATATAAATATAAATCTGAATATATTTTTCATTCAACAAAACTTTAACCCAACTTTAAATAAGTTATTGTAATTATTAGGTCTATGAATTAACAGAATGAATTTCGAGTTGCAGTTTAAAACTGTTTGACAGCTTTGCGGTTTTGATGTTTTAATTGAGCCTTAAAACTAATTAAAACCAATTCTAAACAAGTCTTAAGTAAATAAGATATTGTGGCTAAATAGACTTGTGACTTATTTGAATCATGTTTGCATTAAAAATACATGTTTTTATTGTGTTTGCAGCCGGATTCTCGACTAAAGAACACACCAGACTCCTCTGCTGTTGCAAGACTCTCTCTCTCTCTGCAGACACAATCCATTCTTCTCCGAAGAGGTGAGCCAGGGTCCGTGTGAGAGGCAGGGGGTGCAGTGGCGGCCTCTGTCCGTGTGAATCGGAAAGACGATTAGGGGCTTATTAGCGGCCTGTGGAGAAGTGTAAGTTGTTGGGAGTGAGCGGGCAGAGCCCCAGCGACATCTCCAGCCGAGAACAATCCCAGCCTTTGTCCCACCTAATTACAGTGGATGGACTTCTTTTTGTTTCCCGTTCGGCATGCCTGTCTGATTCCTTCTTTTTGCCCGGCCTGCAGGCTCCGACCATACCGAAGTGTGCTAATTAGAAAAAAAATGGTCCCCGTAATTATGTCCACTCTTATTAACGGCGATGACAATGAACAATATTATTTTTACGCAATGTTTTGTGCAGGGAACCCTCACCCTGCTTCCAATGCTCATTAAATGGGAAACACGCCCCGGTAACCGGGGAGGGCTCTCTCACGTCAGAGCTGAGAACGGCGAATGGCGGAAGCATGAAGTTATTGCCCTAATTAATATCACAAAAACCTAGCGTCTTTGTTATAAAGTAATTAATTAAAAAACTATTATTTTCAGTTAAAACTTTAATATACAATTTTACTAGTTGCAAAAAAATTACATTAATCTAAAAAAGGGAAATTAGGATACTTTAACATTTGCTTGAAGGTCTAGAACTACTAGAATTAAAGAGAATTCCAGTAAAAAAGCACAAAAAATATGAATAAAAGTAATGGAGGCCAACAGGAGGATTTAAAAAGCATATCTGGTGAGATAATCAGTCTTTAAAATCTGTAACGGTGTAAACGTGTTAATAAGAGTCCATCCAAAGGTCCGACCACTCCAACAAAGCATTCATCACTTCTTTGGCCTTTCCAGTATGTTCAGGAACTTCCCCCTGGTCATTTCTCTAGCTGGATAAAAGACAAAGAAGTCACATTTTAAGCACAATTCTTTCAGATTTTCACATCTTTACCAACTTCTAACAACCTTGATGCACATAATCAGTCCAACACGACATCCGCCTGCAGCTCCAACATCAAAACAGGCTGTTCAGTCATTCAGTGCATGTATTTAATATCTGCAGCGTCACACGGGAATGCAATTTAAACAAACATCTGTTCGTTCAGTACATGGAAAGCATAAAACGGAGATGAAGTTAGCTACCAACGAATCTTGTGAATGCATGACTGCAGTTTAGTGAGAGACTAAAATTCATGCAAGCAGCTGAGATCAAAGAAGAGAAGATGCTTTTTGTGTGTGTTTATGGGATATGGCTCCTGCAGGAAAATAAATAAACTCATATTCACTAAACTAAAAGTAAGGACTTGTAGCCATTCAACTAAAATATTCAATAAACTATGATTAAAAGATAAGAAATTTTCATTCCACCTGTAGGACTTGTGACGGGATCTCTGGGTTTAGACGCCGAGCTGCTCAAGACGGTTAATGAAAAAGACGAAGCTTTTAGTAATTTCGATGAGCCGGTCAAGGTGGAATGATAATGGTGCATCTGGGCGTGGGGGCTACGTCACCTTGAAGTGTCCATCATAAGGTTAAAGATGATGCTAATTGGATTGGGATGGATTCATTTTGCACTTTGCTGTCTCTTCAAATCACCCTAAACAAAGTCGTCAAGCCAACTCCTGGACACCAAGGGGTGGTTTAGATTAAAATTAAGCTATTAAAATTAGGCGAGGGAAAGCAATTACACTGGGGTGACCTTAAAACTGTCAGTGTGATGGTGTCACCTGGCTTTTTAAGAGCAGTTACACCAGAAATGGTAAACAGCAGCAGACCGTATAATTTTGATTTTTAAGGTGTCTTGACATCCTTTTTGTTTGTGATTTTTGCAAATCAGGATCGGCTCCAAGTGTGAAACAAACCAAGGATGGCTGTGCCACTTCCTGTCTCGTCATGGATGATTTAGTTCAGCCTCTCATAGTCAGACTGAAAGTCACATAACTAACATAACATCCAACGGTGGGGCAATATGGAAAAGAATTCCCATCACGATGTCAATTTCACATCAGTCTATATCCATATATATCACAACATTCAAAGAAATTATATTTTTGTCAATCTGTAATGATCTCTGGTAAATCTGAGTGAGATCTGAAGATACCAGAAGGTTATTTTTGATTTTGAAGATTTGTTTTAAAAAGCTGAACCCTGGTCCTCAGGGCCCACTGTCCTGCATGTTTTCCATGTTTCCCTGTGTTGGGGTTATTAGGAGCGAACAATTAGTAAGCTTCAACTTACTTTTGGATTCTTCAATAAATTCTGTAAATATGGGAATATTTACTGATTTATTAATTAATTAAGATATTCTTAGATATACGGGGCACCATTCCCCTTTTTCCGGGGAAAAATTGAATCCAAAACTCTTATCAGTCTTTCTTGAAGTTCGTAGAATCCTTGGAGCAGAGACTTCTCTTCGACACAACAAAGCTACTGGAGACGAAAATCTGAATTTTATAACGTTTAATTAACAATTTGTCAAATGAATAAACAGTGGAATAGATGAATAATAACCGTGTGATATGATTGAAGATGGATGTGTTTGCATGTGATGGAGGATGTATGAATGGGGTCCTTTGTTCTCACAAAGGAGTAGTGTGTATGTGTGTGTGTGTGTGCGTGTGTATGGATTCAAAATGGAGTCTTGAATACAAGATGGCTGACCCCTTTGTCTGGCTAAAGTGTGGGTGGCAACTTGCACTTTAACTTCCAAAGCACTTAGAATCAGTAGTAACTTAACCTTAAATCACTCAAAACATTTCAAAAGATCATGAAACAACACAAAAGATTAATCACAAATTAATATCTTTTAGTTTCAGCCTGGCCATGACAGAAACCATTTTAAGATACCAAACAATGATTAATAAGCAGTTTATTCTTTCAAAATGACCCGACGGACGTGTTTGGGACGAAAGAGGAAAACACGAAGCTACTTTTTAAGCAATAGACGCGGTTTATTGCTTATTTGAGACTATAGAGGAAACGGGAGAAGAAAAGGAGAGAAAAAAATGAGTTTCCTGATCACCAAAGCAGCAAGGCGTCCCCCGCTGTTATGACTTGACGGTTCTCCGTTTTTCTCCGCAGTTTCCGGCGTCATCCGTCGGTTTGATGCTTTCTCCGTTGTTTGGCGTTCACGAGTGTTTCTCCACGGGCTGGACAGAGACAGCAAAGTTTCTTTCTGTGCTGAGTTATAACTTACAGCGTTCCTGAGAGCTGGATGGAGTTGTTGTTTCCCTCCGCAGTTCTGTGTCCTCAAACATCAGCTGGAGGGGAGCAGAAACGAGCAGATCTGATGGGCTTGCAGTTTAGTTTCCAGCAGTTCCGTGGGCTCAACTTGGCACTTAGAGCTTCCGCGTGCTCAAGGGAATCGGAGCGTTCGATAAGCGTGTCCTTACCGCCAGGTATCCTGGGCAAAAGAACGAGGTTTCTTTGTCTCATTCATGATTTATAGTCTTTGAAGTCGCGGGAAAGCTTCAAGCTCCCGCCTCCCGCACATGCGCAGAACGTGTTTCTGGTATTAGGCGGTGACATCATCCCAATGCTTCCGTGTGCAAAGCATCATGGGAAATGAAGTTTCTTGGCGCTGATGTGATTATTTGCTTTTCAGAGCAATTTAAGCACAGTCATTTTGGAGAAAATCACTGCATAGTAATTTCCTCATGAGGTCAGACCCTCAACATTCCCCCTTTTGGTTTCGGGGATCGCGCCCAAAGCTCGATCGTCGGAAGCACAGATGGGTTTGTTCCTCATGAACGTAAGTCGACTTGATTGTCGGAAGCACAGGTGGGTTTGTCCCTTAGGACGTTGGTCTCCTTGGACGCCTTTGTCTTTGGTCTTTGTCTTGGATCCTGGCGCCTTTGGTCTTTGTCTTGGATCCTGGCGCCTTTGGTCTTTGTCTTGGATCCTGGTCAGGCACAAAACAAAAGAGGATAGGAAATGGGATAGTCCCCAACGCGCATAACGAGAAGAAGCCACTCACGCAGGTGGTACGCAATGATGATGTCGTCCATGCGAGAGGTAGTAGTGTAGAAGGAGGAAGGTCGGTGGGCGGTTAACTCCACGAGGGGACACAAAGGCATCTCACCGCCGGCCATACAGTTCAGTTTATGGAGCACGCGGTGATGTACGAGGTCCATAGTTCGCAAACGCGCATTGACCTATGTGGTCCCAAGATTCCCCCCTTTTTGGTCCAAAGGGTGGATCAGGACAGTCTTTGGGCTAAAACAAGGACCATAAAACTAAGAGGTACTACAATGTGCTGGTGCGTCAGACAGAGTCATTGACAGACTGAGCTGGGCCGGCACATAACCACTAGTTAATATGTGACCAAGTAAGAAACAAAAAAAATACAGAAAACCCAAAAAAACAAACATATAACATATAACATCCAAGAAAATTCATAGCAACCTTGAGGTCTCATAAAATACATTCTTAGGTAATACATTCAGTGTGTAGCTTATAAAGAATGTGACATAATGCAACACTCAGATAAAAATGTGAGGTAGACTAAAATGAGAACTACTCTTAGGTTTACAGAATAACAAAGAAAATGTTGCTCACCCCCTTTAGACAGGTGTGGTACATTCACGCTTGGAGTCTCCCCGAACGCGGTTACGAGGCACACCGTAGGTGAGCAAGTGCATCTTATCTTGGAGTTTCTTAACACGCCTGTAGGCGGAATAAGCAATCACGGCCGTGATGAGCCATTCCATCCCCAGGGCGACCAATGTGCAGATTAAAGTCGTATAATCTGTGTCAATGTAGCGTCTTGGGCGTCAAAGTAAGTTCACGCGGGTTTTGTGTGAACTTAACAAAGTTGGTTCCTTCAATCAGTAATTGTTGGTCAATTTCTAAATCGAAGGCAAAGTTATAACCCAGGAAAGCGTCCATGATCTCAAACTCTGAGTCATGCTGTTCGAGGTTGAGGTGATGGAGTGTCAGGTTTCTAGTTCAAAGTGGAAATGCCTACCGTCCTTTCAAATACCAATGCTCAGCATCGACCTAAACCTATAGATGTGAGGTGTCACAATTATGGGAACGTTTAACAGGAAACCGAGTTCTAATGTTCTGCATCAACGTGAATGGGAATTGCACTACCTAGGCTGTACGCTAGGTGGATTTGTGAAAGGTGCACAGTAGAGGGGTAGCAGCTGTCAAGCTAACTTTGAGCAGGTCCAGTGGTACCAAGTACGGGGAAATACGACTTTCAACCAAGCTGTCCAGCGTGGAACTTACTTCCCTGAGCAGGTCCTACATCAAATCTCTCACCACTCATGTGTACACAATATCCTGATGTATGGTTTCAGACAAAGTCTTGATTGCACGTAGAGATTCATTAATCAGAGCAGAATGTAGGTTGACAGTTACAAGAGTGCCCTGTAAGGTTTTAGTAAGTACTTCCTGTTAGCGTTCTAGGAGGAGTTTCTCTTGGTTAGTGAAAATGACGGCGGGGGGGGGGGGCTTGGTTCTTTGTCGGTTAGTACATGTTAGTGGGTTAAACGTGCACTTTCCCCCCCTTTCCATTTCCATGCATAGAACTATGTCGAGACTACGTCTACCTCCTGCGGGGAGTCTGGTCTCTGTACCCGCGGGGATGGTTTGACGTAGGGTTTGATTTGGTTTGCATGCACCCATTTGTAGACAAGCTCCTGTCTCGCTTTGGTGATGCGTAACCTGTATGCAACTGGAGAGAGTTTTGCCACGATCTCAAATGGTCCTGACCAGCAGGGCAGGAACTTCTTAGCTTTGCGTGCCGGTTGGGCGAACCGAAAGTAGAATACTTTGTCACCCACCTCGTATTCGCGGCTGGTTGTCTTTTGGTCGTAGTAGGCTTTAGCGCCTTCTACGTTGGTCTCCAGTTTCTTCTGAGCGTGCGCGAACGTAGCTCTGAGGTGTGTTTTCAAGTCTGCCACATACTGATGAGCGGTATAGGCAGTGGCAACACTGACATCCTCTGGGTGATACAGGAGGTGCAGTGGTAGAGTCATCAGTCTGCCGGTCATCATCTCAAAGGGCGTAACCCCAGTGGATCGCTGTGGAGTGGACCGTATGGCCATCAGGACCAGAGGGAGCTTGACGTCCCAGTCCTTCCCAGTGGAGCAGACGTACTTTTTGAGCATAGAGACGACCGTGCGGTTCATCCGTTCGACCTGTCCGGATGACTGTGGGTGATAGGGGAGGTGGAATCTCACTTCCACTCCCAGAAGTTCAAACAGGGACGTCATTACACTGGATGTGAAATGAGTTCCCCGGTCAGAGTCAATGCAGAGTGGAAGTCCCCATCGACTGAAAACGTGGTTAATCAGCAGTACAGCGGTTGTGACGGCTGTATCGTTTGGCGCTGGAAGGCATTCCACCCACTTCGTGAAACTGCAAGTTACAGTTAGCATATATTTGTTTCCTCTTGCCGATTTGGGAACCGGTCCAACCCAGTCGATCTGCAGGTGGGACCAAGGGAAGGTTATTCCCCTGCGTTGCAGTGGTGCTCTAGCAAGCGGCTGGGAGGGTTGAAACTGGGCACAGATGAGGCAGCCTTGGACATAGCTGTGTACGTCCTTGGACATCGACGGCCAATATGCTACTTCTGTCAGTGACGCGAGGGTAGCTTTTGCTCCGCGGTGACCTCCAACCGGAGTGTCGTGGGCGTAGGCAAGCATCACTCCTCTGTGGTCGAGTGGAACAACCCAGCGCGGCGGGCTGTGATCGTCACGTATGTAAATTAACAAATCGTTTTGTAGTTTCAGATGCGCGAGTTGACGATGCAGGGTTACCAAATCTCGGCTTGCGCCAGTAGGTGGTGACGGTTGTTTAGACATCGGGCCCTTTTGGAGAAGCTCGCGGATGAGCTTCAGGTCAGGATCTTGTTCCTGCATGGTGACTAGGTCCGCGTCATGTGGTTGTCTGCCTAGAAACACGGGTACCCCAATGTTCTGAGGTTCGTCTGCCTGTTTAGCATGGCGACGAGTAATCGCACAGACCTCGTGAACGGCCTTGGGAGGAAGCCACTCGTCTTTGAATTCCCAACAGGTTCCCTGGTCAGCACCGAGCTTAGCAAGGCGGTCAGCTTCGTCATTACCATCTTTCTCCGGACCTAGGGTCCTGGAGTGACCTTTGACCTTTTTCCAGTAGACCATTATGCCTTTCTCAGTGGTGAGCAGATCACACGCTAGGAATAACTCCGAGTGTTTCACGTCT